ATTAAAAAGCATTATTATTAGTAATTGGCAAAAACGTGCTTGATCCCTAGACATTTTGAAGCGTGTATATCTATAATAGTAAAAGTGGACACTAGATTCTGGCTCTCCCCGTGTTGCGGAATTTCATTAAATTATGTTTTCCTAGATATACCTACCTAATCAGGCGTCGTAGCCGTTGCGACGCTTCGTCATCACTTGTTGGACTAAATTATTATGGCACAACAAATATGTACAATTAAAAAATTCTAATTAGGGTCATAATTTTGGGGTAGAGACATAATTTGTAGTTACACTGTTTGATTTAAAAAAAATGCAATTGTGACATGCCTGTTGCCTCTAAAGAGCCTGCTGTCGAAGAAGATGGTCACCTCGGGTATGTTGCAGATGCCGGCTATGAGGAGTGAGGAGACAAAATTATCTGCGCCATCGCTTCTCGGCTCGAATATTGGTATCTATAGAACATTATATTATCATCTGATCTATTATATGTAGACCTAATGCGTAACGAAAATGTAAGAAATTTTTAAAATATATTTTGTTTTATATTCGAACTAAATACTTAAACAAAGCATGCTAATTTATTGAAAACGTTATTCATCAAAAATAGTATTGATATCTACATGATCAGGTATGTAAATTTTAAGAAATCGTATCTAGCAACAATATTATTAGAGAGCAAGCAGTTACACACAGTGACATTTAGCAAAGACAAAGGACGTTAGTGAAATGCGCGATTGCATCGCAACACTTAAGGTGGCAAATGAAATCAAAAATCAAAATAATCTTTATTTCATAGGTAAGCATTATTACACTTGAAATCGTCACATTGGTTAATCTCTACCGCTCATTCGTAAGGCAGATTCCCCTGAGAAGAATGAGCTAGAAACTCGAAGGGTTGCTCTTTGTAAATAACATTTACTTGTACACATTCAACATTTACAATATTTTTCTTTTTGTTTCCAAACATCAGAGATCGAGATTACCTGCGTGGGGTAAACGGGTTACTACCACGGATTTTTGTCATCCAAGTACGCAGAAGTTGTATATTAGCCTTTAGTATAAAATGTTTGTTTCACTATAGTTTTAAACCTCGTGAACGGCAAATTTTGTATATCAACCGGAATCTTATACATTACTCAGAAGCGTATTGTGACTTTGTGAAGACGACTATCAAGAAGAGCTAGTTTATTTTTGTTCCTCCTATTAATGTTATGTCTGTCACTATTTTTCATAAAGAAATTATTATTCCTCTTAACATAAATTACATTTTCATAAATATACTGTGACGCTAGTGTAAGAATGTTCATTTCCTTAAACTTATATCTCTCAAAGATACTCTGGGGCCCAGATTGTAAATTGGCGGAGACAAAAACCGTCACTTGACTTTAAACTTTTGTATGCGTTCAGTTCGCGAGCGAGACTGAGACAGGCGACTGCGACGCGAACAGAAGACGGTGAGACAGGCTCTGTCGCGGACCAGTGGCAGGGCTCTGTCACTCGCTCAAGGTTACGCGATAAGTCCCTACCGCTGAGTGTATCGACGTCGATACAAGTGCTCATTCAAACCTTTCGCACTACTGCATACGGCGGGCAACGTTATTTTCACCTCTCTGAGCGCATGCTTAGATTCCCTTTTCCTCGTAGTGAGCATCCTTGTGTCATTAGTCAGATTTAGTAAGTATGTATTTTGTATGAGGGTGACGTGTCTGTTACGTAATAAATATTAAGTACCTAATCTGTGTCTGTGGTGTCGCGAGTCTCGTTCGAAAACCACGTGCGCTATTAAATGCAATACTAATCAAACAGTTGGTAGCGACCAATCTAAGTCTATGTCTATATACGTTTATAGTATATGTATATAGTATGTCTTGGACTGCACAGTACACCACCGGAGACGAAGGCATTTGTCTCCATCTCCTGTTTGTTTGTTTGGTTGAACCACTAAAAACGTACATCGCGTTTGCATGCAATTGCATCGCGTTTGCATCGGAATTGTGTAGCTGCTTAAATCACGCGTGTGTGTAAAGGTAAACAATTAACGACTGAATCGCTGCAGGCGCGCTGCTAAAGTTACCGAGTGTAACAGCTGTTATTCCTCGGTCCATAAACAATCTGATAATATGACAAAAATCTCAACAATCATTAAACTTTTAAAACTGTAATTTGCCTAAACGACTCAGGTACGTAAAAAACTCAGGTAAAACTCACCTGAGAACCAGTCAAGACAATGGCCTTCCCCAAATTCTCGAACATAAACGACAAAGCCGATGCAGTGTAGGATAAGGTATCAGTTCCGTGAAGTACCACGAACCCGTCGTATACTTCGTAGTTATTCTGCAACCAATTATCTTTAAAAAAATCTGATTTTGTAACATTTTACAGCGTGTTTATAGAATATACTTATATATTGTTCTATATTGAACTCGATATGCGGTCTGCGCCGGCTGACCGTCACCCAAGTTGACAAGTCCCATATGCCTATAAATTCAAATCACCCTTCAAAACCGAAACACAGTAATGCTCACATTACCGCTTGGCAGCAGAAATAGGTAACGTGGCAGTACTTCCCTGGACGAACTCTTTCGTTACTAAAACACTGGAATAGAATTAATAGCAGTAGAGCTCCAAAGTTCGTCCAAGGAAGTACTGCCACCTTACCTATTTCTGCCGCCAAGCAGTGTAATGTCAGAAATACTGCGTTCCGGTTTTGAAGGGTAAGAGTGCTGGTGAAATTACAGGCACATCGGACGTGTCAACTTATGTCTCGGGGTGACGCACAGTGGGCTGATTTCGAAAAGTGTGGACTTAAGGCTTGAAATTGTTAGGATCGGATACTACTAGTCAATATGATAATTTTATGTTCTGGAACTTTTTTCGTATTTTCATCTATACCAATATTATAAAGAGGTAAATTTTTGTAAATTTGAATATTTGTATTTCTGGAACTACTCAACCGATTCAGAAAATTCTTTCATTAATAGAAAGTTACAGCATCCCCGAGTGATATAGGCTGTTGTAATAGGATTACTATTGGAATCTTTATACGGGGCGCAACTAGTAGCTATAGTTTTTGAGTAATAACACTTTAAAAAATGTTTGTAGAAATATTTAAGATTTGACGTAATTTATTTTAATTTCGATATTATGCGGTACATTCTCGACACGAGAAAAGATAGCACACATAAAATTAATGCCAATCAAAAAGATAATAACATTATTAATATCAAGACGCAGCAGTCTCATCACCCTAAAATGTCACTTGTTTTGCTAAAAAACACACGTGTAAACAATGGGGAGCTTATCATAAACACGAACAAAAGATCAAGGTTGTTAAGAAATATGCTTATCTTTGACAATTGTGGTCAAGTTAGAATAATAGCAGGTAGTAATTAGGTCAGTTTGTCCCATTCGAGTAAACTTCTCTCAGAACGTGATTACATTTCGTAAGAAACGCACTACTTATTTTCAAATAATACCCTTTTCTTGGAAGTTTTATAAAAATGGTTGGTGAATTGGTGACTAACCTAGACTTATTTGTAAAACTAAAAAAAAAGTGGCAATATTAAAAATGCTGCGGCATTATTTGATATTATAAAATTTAGTTTAAACAAAAATTTAAGCGAAGACAATATCAAAAAGTTGAAAGCGTTTTGTGCAACATATTGTTCTAATCTTCACAGAAATTGGCTCAGTGCTAATAGAAGAGAAGAAGATTGTATAAAGAAATATAGTAAATGGTTGGATGCAGATGTATTATGGCCCGATTATGTTAGGAGTGCTTCAGAACAAAGCGACGAACCATCTACGACCACGCCTATTACATCAGCACAATTTGCAACATCATCAAATATAAGCGGTGGAACCTATACTGAGTTGAGTCCAAGAAAACCTTTCTGTGATTTAGGGCCTAAACAAAAAAAGAGTCGCGCTGAGAATATTGATAACACAATATCTTATGATGAGATATCGTACGTACATTCCATGAAATGAAAAGCTGATGGTCATGGTGACATTGCCAAAATCGTTGATTCATCATCATTTTATTTAAGAGCCATGCTCTTGTCGGTGTAGCCTCCTCCACTCCTCACGGTCCATAGCCAAATCCTTGACCTCCCTGTTGATTACTTGCTTAAAAATCCACAAGATGTGAAAAAAGTAAAAGAATGTATTAGTAACAAAACTGAAAAACCATTGTTTGATGCAGATGAGGCTTTAGGTTTGTTTGTATCACGAAAACTATCCAAGTGGCAGTATAATACATTGAGAAAAAGTGTTGCAGAAAAAGGTGTGCATATATTTCCTTCCTACTTTAAACTCCAAAAAGCAAAACAGTCGTGCTATCCACCTAAAGAGGAGATTACACTAACAGAGACTACTGCTCAAATAAAATTGCAAGCGCTCTTAGATTTGACAGCAAGCAGATTATTAAAAGCTATACCGTTAAATGACGATTGTAAACAAATGAAACTAATAAGTAAATGGGGTTTTGACGGTGCCTCGAATCAAGTTACATATAAGCAAACAATAGAATCAGAAACGGAAGATAATGGAGATGATTCCAGCGTATTTATGGGAAGTTTAGTACCCATCAAGTTAGTTTCTGGAGAATCAACGATTTGGGAAAACGACTCGCCAAATTCAACACATGTGTCGCCCACTATTTTTTAGATTCTTTAAAGAGAATAAAGCAACCATAATACAGCAAAAGACATCAGAAGAGTCTGAAATTGACCAACTGCAGACTACAAAAGTAGAAGATATTGAAATTACTCATTCCTTACTGCTTACTATGATAGACGGTAAAGCCACAGCAATTTTAAGTGAAACATCAATGCAACGATGTTATATGTATACACACATCAAAAAAAGTTTGCGATCACTTCGAAAAACTGAAATCTTTTTTGTTACTGTAGATTATATTATGATTTTTTCTTCTTTTTAGATTCTTTACTTAAAAATAAATTAGAACATCATAAAACAATGACCCCGTTCAATTGTTTTTTCATATAAAAAGGCTTTCAGTCCTAGCTTACGCTCATTCAGAAATCTGATTTAGTCAATTATAAGCGATTCAAGATATTTTTCGCGGAAAGTTGTGATTGAAAAAATGCCAAGAGGATTATCAGAGGTTTTACGAGCTAGAATAGTAACTTTGAGGGAAGAAGGATACACCACGAGAGTAATAGCACGCAGACTTGCTATATCCCAATCCTGTGTCGTGGCTACGTTGCAGAGGTATCACGGAATGGGGAATTTAGCTGACCGACCCCGCAGCGGTCGCCCAACTGTTTTGACAGCTGCCCAAAAGCGCTATATTAGATTGCTGGCAGCCCGTGATCCAACAATCAACGCCACTAAAATAAAAGCAGAAGTCAGGGCCGCCTCTGGGCTTGAAGTTAGCACGCAGACCGTTCGCAATTGCTTGCACCAGGCTGGATTACGAGCACGGAGGTCTTGGCGAGCTCCGCTCAATTCCCGGCAACGTCAACAACGAAGATTGCAGTGGGCTAGACTTCGGCAAAATGAAGAAGGTGAGGACGAAAACATTTGGCAAAACTGGCTCTTCGTTGACGAATCCCGAATCAGCACTCATCCAGATAACCGACGTGTCCGTGTCTGGAGAAGACCAGGCGACCGTGAAAGACAAAGAACTGCCACTGGAACAGTTCAGCAAGGCGGAAAATCGGTGTCCTTTTGGGGTGGCATTATGATTGGAGCTAGAACGCCTTTGATCCCGTATCGGGGCTTCATGACAGCAGACATGTACAAAGCAGTTGCTATTGATGATATCGTCAGACCATTCCGAGTAAACCATGGGCACCAATTTGTACTGGTCGATGATAATGCGCCCGCACATCGAGCTCAACGAGTCAATGCTGCTCTTCAAGAATACGATATCACACGATTAGACTGGCCTGCCGGCTCGCCCGACTTAAACCCAATAGAGCACGCGTGGGATGCTCTTAAACGAGCAGTATGGAACCGTGAGCCACGTCCCCAGACAGTTCCAGAGCTCAGGGAAGCCGCTATTGAAGAATGGGATAGGTTGCCCCAGGAAATGCTGGATAACTTGATCCTCAGCATGCCCAGGAGGATCTTCGCATGTATTCGAGCCAGGGGAGGAGTTATTTTATATTGAATTCACACCTTTTAATAATAAATTGTTGTTTAAGTTTAATTAAACAGTCTTTTTCTTTCTATGAAATTTCTATCACTATTACATTATGATTAATGGCTCAATTTTTTTAAATAAATAATAAAAAATAGTTTTATATTTTAATTTCAAACAGGGTATTCCTATTTAAAGAAAGCATACAACATAGATTTTTTCTTGATAAAGTTAAATTTAAAGAATTATAGGAGCTTATGCTATTGATCGCAAACTTTTTTTGATGTGTGTATGTAAAGCGTCTCCCAAAGAAATCAATGAGTTAGATCTTACATCATCAAAAAATATAGATACCGAGTTATATAAATATGGCCTATCCTCATTGCATATGTGGATACGTATGATGGAGTGTATTCTTCACATAACGTATAGATTAGATTTGAAAACGTGGGTTGTGAAAGGTGAACAAAAAGCCGCTCTGGAAACTAGAAAAAAAATTATTCAGGACGCCTTTAAAGTTCAAATGGGTTTATTGGTTGATGTTGTTAAACAAGGTCATGGTACAACGAATGATGGAAATACGGCATGACGATTTTTCTCAAACTATAAAACATCAGCTTCATTCATCATTACAGGTGTTGATGAAAATTTAATTAAAAGGTTTGCCACAATTTTGCAAGTCATTTCTTCGGGACAAACAATAAATATAACAAAATTTAAAGAATATGCTGAAGTAAATATGAAGTCAATATCGACAGATGTCGATATTGACAAAACCTTAGGTAAACTTGCTGATATTTGAAATGCAATTGTTGAAAGAAATTGTTAAAAGCGTTTGCTATTTGGGTATTGTCTGTCAGTCGTCATCATCGTCTGTCGTCATCTTTTAAACTCGATATGTTTCTGTCAAATTTTTGTTCTGCTTGGTTTGTTAATTTATTATACACCACGATTCTTTGATTTTATTTAGTGCTTTGTTAATCCTATTTAAAGTTTGGAACTTCTTAGCATGATATAATACTTTTTCTATTTCTAGGAAAGTTTTATTTTTAATAATAATATACAACAAAAGAATTTAAAAATTCAATGTATATCACTATAAATATACTGAGGATGAAACTATGACAAATGCGCCCTACTTCTTTACACCATGGGTGTGTAATAGATTTTTTTTTTAATTTATAACATTTTCAACCCAGACCGTTATATTAGAAAACTATAGATTATAAAGATATAGATTTTATGGTAACTCGAGACTCCAACTATATGGATCAATACATTATTTTTTGAAAAAATTTGAGATTTCAGAGATATACCCCAATTTCACTTTTTCTCCATACAAAAAAAGTTTCAGAGCCATATAACTATAAAATTACTGTGTCAATCGAAAATATTCACATGACAGTTTATGATTGTATTGGTGAGTAAAATCAATATCCATCATCATATTTATAAAAGGAGTTGTTTAATTTTCAAGTACCCCTAAGTCCACTAGGGATCATTTTCAGCCCACTGTGTGACGGGCCCAATATAATTTGCTTTTTTTTATAATATCTCGATAACAATACCTCAAGGTTCTATGGCGCTCTCACACAAGTCGGGCCCTATCTACATGTGCTACAGATATAATTCCAGATTAACGCACCATAATATCTTCGGCAATTTGTGCCCATTCCTTTTCAGTTATATTTGAAGAATCCAAAAGATTCTCGTATTCAAGTATTCTGTATAGTATCCTCACTTGGGAATCTTTAGTTTCTGAAAGAATATTGTTTTATCAGAAATATGACACAACATCAGCGTATCTGTTTTATTATTTTAATTTTAAACGGTGTCCCATTGAATGGCCTTCAGTTGGATGGAAGCCAATTTTTAAAATCGTAATTGTATGCTTAAATAATCTGTTATATAGAAAATTCGAAATTTTAACACCAAAATCGTCCTTAGCGAACGGCTCGCTGACTGCCTTGTTGCCGTTTCGTCAATGTGACCGTCAATATGAAGTGCGCAGTGTGGCATCTAAATCTAGAGAGAGGCAAAGTGAGCTTTCACGCTACTTTTTTTATTTTCTGGCAAGATGGTAGCTGCGGGAATTCCTCAGAATGCTTGAGAATTCTCTAGAAGACGCGCAACCTGCTTTTTAACTTGTGTCTAACTTATACGTTACTAATGTTGATATAAAGTTCATTACGCTATGGATTACAAAATTTCGATTCCAATCCCTTCAGCGCCAATGGAAATGAAGCATTATGCTGAGTACGTACTTGAACAATACGACTCATCCGTAGAACAAAGATCTATGTGCAAGACTACTTGTTCTTAGGACATAGTACATTTCGTTCGATCTTCTTCGCTGTGAATGTCGATCGACTATTGTTCGATTTCATATTATCGAAACGAAATAAGATATGTAAATTGTCAAAATACCTTTACATAGGCCTTAGTTTGAATAACGAAATTATTCTCGTAACGTAGATTACTTATTCTCTTTTCGCTATATAATCACATAGGACTCTCTTCTTCGGATGAGTCGAATTGCGATATGATAATGATATACGTTTTATAATAAGATGAAATTACATACTAGGCAAAACGAGAAATCGTGGATCAATATGTTCACTGGAGCTGAAGTTAGGGTCGTGAAGCTGGGGGTATTTTTTAATTGTGATCTCAAATACACCCCGTTTGGGGGCTAGAGCTGTAAAAAACATTAAGCCATTAAAATATCGATACCGAAAATGCAGAAAAAACATAATTTGAGCAATTTAGAAAATAATAACATATTTTATATTACAACGTAAACGTTTTTATTATCGATACAGAGTTTAAACATAAACACACTACCTCAAAGGCCGAACGGTTACCATACAAGTCTGCCACGCAGAGGTCGCGGGTTCGATTCCCGGGCCGGGAGAAATTTTTTTTTTACACACACACTCAACATCACATCGTCATCACAAGTAACCGCTCGACTTCAACCAAGCGTCGACGTGCGAATGCGCGCTATATGCATACGCACGGTATATCGAACGAGAACGAGAACAGATCCACAGAATCGGAAATTGATGCTGGATGAGACATATAGTAAATTTGTTTTTTTTATAATATCACATATATGACATAATATGACGGGACAGCGCCACTCAAAGATTTAAATTGGAAAGATCTGAGGGGCACTACCTCTGCGTCTGTCGCCCTGAGACATAAGTTGGCAAGTCCCATGTGCCTGCAATTTCACCAGCACCCTTACCCTTCAAAACCGGGACACAGTAATGCTGACTGACATTACTGCTTGCGGGCAGAAATAGATAAAGTGGCAGTACTACAATGTATGAACTCTTTTACAAGGGGCTCTATTGCCACTAAAAAATTTATGAATAAAATATAATCTTACAAATTTTGTTCTTTTTCGTTTACCATTACCTATTATCTGTTAAATTTAGTAGTAAGTATTAATAGGTATCAGAAATTTACTTTTTTTTTCATAAGCCCTACGTATCTATGCAAACTTTTTAATAATTAGCCAGGTAAATATTACTTCTACGTAACCCAATTACCTCGAGCGCACCTTGGGCATAAGTAGTCTAAATAATGGGCATTGTCATTGACTTACTATTTGTAAGTCAATGGGCATTGTCAAAAAATGTTCGTTTCATAGGCCATCATTGGTTGCCTAGCAACGATTTGTTATAATGTTAATATTCTAGGTCGAATTTGTTCAAAAGTTATCATTGACTTACAATTATATGGACGTCGGGTCCGCGCTAAAAAGTGTCCGCACTTGTAAGGCGCTAAAATCGTATACAGAGCGCGACACTCCGCTTTAGTCTTCATTTGTTCTACGGACAGCGCGATACTGCGATGACATAACAATTTAAATTTCGAATAGGTTGACTTGGGACATTTTTTTCGAGGTTTTTGTATTAGACCCGTCGTCCATTTATTTGTAAGTCAATGAAAGTTATAGTTATTTTTTTGTTATAATTACAAAAAAACCTAAATTCGCTACCGTAACGTCTCCTTTCATATCAAAAATACATTACTTATTTTATATATTATATTACATTAGAAGTATTGCAAACTCTATGCCTACTCCTTTAAAGTTATCATATCTGATAATTAATATGCACTTACACCCATCCTCCTTGTTCGGCATCATTCCAATAGTGCCACCAGTGTAAATGACCAATACTTTTCTCTCATTTTTTCCAAATTGTGACACTAAAGAGTTGGACGCTGAGAACTCGAGCATACTTCTTGATTTTCTGAACCTCGGATTCTCACTGTAACCGTCAATTTTATTCACGTTATAAATTCCATTGCCATTTTGGTTTTTTGCCGGCAAAAAACCAATTTCGTGAACACCGTTCTGCATTGCGGCGCGAGTTTTCTTTTTATTTTTGTTTGCTTATTTAACATGCGTACAACACAAGATTACAACGCAAACTGACTTACGAAACGACCTTTCGTTTCGTGGAGAAAGAACACGAATTTAATGACTTAATTGTTTCCTTGCATTGCTCTTTTTGTTAACAAATTCACTTTGAAATTTTACTTTCAAGAAGCAATGTATAACAAAACTTTACGTTAGTCGTAACATTTGGTTCGTCGTCTAGTTTCGTAATACAATGTCTATAAATAAAGCCACGTGCTTGACCCGATAACAAAGCGTTAACGTTTTAAATCTTATGGAATTTAACTACTATATTGACATGGTTGATAACTTTTAACTAACCATAAAGATTGTATGTAGCTATTGTTTCGTAGAGCTGGCATTTGTAATAAATTTTTTTAACGCCTATAAAATTGCGATAAAGTAAAAAAAACGGCGATAACCAACTTGGGAAGAGGTCTTTTCCAACCTCTAAGAGATGCTCGTAAAAAATTTAGTTCCGGTATTATTTATTTTTATCCAAATTTTGAAGTAATTAATTTTGGTATAATTTCTTTTTAATTCCACTTTACATTTGATTTTTTAATTTTCTTTTTATCCTTTAATTTTATTATAATGAAATAGCATAGTAACGCGATCTACTTTTTATACACGAATAACTCGATTTACATTCGAAGACCAACGGTTTGTTCCAGGCTCAAATCTATTCGGACAAATTTTGAAAACGAACTTGTAATTGGTTTCGTGTGTTCTGGTTATTTCTCTGGAGATATTCTTTTCAATTTGAGATCAGGTAATTAGTGTGGTCCTCTGACACAATATTGTTATAATTTTAAAAAGGCTGAGGTCTTGGGTTCGTAATAGCTGGAGGTGGGCGTTTAAACGAATAAATAAATGAATGAATAAATAAATAAATAAATAAATGAATAAACGAAAAGCACAAGTTTGCTCTTTAATATAAGCACGCTCGTAAATTTAACTTGTATGCGTTATTTAGTTCAATACACAACAATTTAATTTTTTACGTTTCTAGGTAACAAGTCCCGCTAGTGATGTTTCCTAAACAAATTAATTCCTATAAATAATAATGTTATAAATAAAAATAAAAGTCGTGTTTACTTATCATAAACCTTTTAGTGGCCTACTCTAGCTTTCAGCTGTCAAAACAATATTGTAAGCTTTTTTTAACATAAAGTCCATAGCCTTAAATATTTTTCTAAACGATTTTGTAATCTTCAAAGAAGCTTCAAAATAAGCAAGCTTATTTTAAAAATACAACGTTTTAACGTTTAAAATTAATATTTTTAATTTTTATTTTATTTATTTTCAACCGACTTCAAAAAAAAGGAGGAGGTTCTCAATTCGACTGTATGTTTTTTGTGTATTTTACGCGATAACTCGATTTGTATGATTCTTTTTTTGTTGGAAAGAGGGTACCTCAGGAGTGGTCCCATTTATATTTGAAGAAAATATTTGCGTAACATACACAAAAAACAATTGAATTGAGATGTCCTCTTTCTTTTTTTGAAATCGGTTAAATATAGAATAATACAGTTGGTACTATTCAGTGTCTTCAAGTTCATCGAAAATAAAAAGAAATATTAAATAAATATTTAAGCGCCTTCTGAAAGGACAATGCCCAAGGTCCTGGCCCATACAGACATTGACAATGAAAGTTGTCGACCCTCAATCGCGGATACACGGTTTCCAATCGTGTACCAATGTATTTTAAGGAACGTTGACATAAAAAGCATTTTGTCTTTGAGATTATGTTAAAAACTATCTAAGGGCGCTCCTTCCGCGAGTGCCTTTGAGTGCCCGCGAGTGCCTTTGAGTGTCCGCGAGTGCCTTTGAGTGCTAGCGAGTGCCTTTGAGCGCCAGCGAGTGCCTTTGAGTGCCATTGAGTGCCTTTGAGTGCCATGGAGTGCCTTTGTATTGGCATACCCCTAGCGGTCACAAGAAGAAACAACATTTTGTATACAAACATACGCAGTCGCTAGAGATAACTGTCACAGTAAACTCGTGATAGAGGCACAGGTGGAGAAGTAAGTACACGGGGCGGAAGCGGCGACGGCAACAACGCGCGCGGGCGCAGCCCGTTCACGTGTGCCCTCACTAGTCTCAATCGTGTAGCTGATACAATTGACATATTTGATTGCACTTTGAGTAAATCCAAAAGAGTTGCCTTACATATAATATGTTATTCTATTTATAACATTCTACGAACTATGGGAAGAATGCAGTGTTGTCACGAATTGTCAACAGTTATATTGGGCACTTTAATGAGGTCAACACTTTCATTGGTAGTAAGGGGTCGTTTTCAGATAACTTCCAAAAATGTGTCCCTGTCAATAACTTTTTTGTTATTACATTAATGCTAAGCATTATTTATTTAATATGATTGCTTGCTAGCTTAGTCTGTGTTACACATAAAAAGACTTACTTATTTATTATTATCTACTACGTCACAATAATAAATAAAAAAAAATTGGGCAATTTCTACTTCATGGGAGCCGGTTCCACGTCGCTCTAATTTTAAGAAACGAAGAAAATTAATTCAACACTCGTGGAAATCTCTATATTTCTCATCGAGGATAAACTCTAGTAACTTACACGTCGAATACATACCGTAACTTTCCAATTTATTATAAACAAACATGTTTTCTTGGGGATACAAACTGTGTTTAAATTTTTCTTATCATTAGTGTCAATTCAACTAAAAGCCTCCTAATAACAAAAGTTCATACCGCATCACTTTCACCTTTTGCATACGTGTGAAGGGGCTCCTGTCGGATTGGAGTGTACACAGTGAAGTAACCTATGCATCTCCGTTTTAGCAAAAAATCGACTTAAATACCAATTTCAGCGCTAGTGACTAAATCTTTCTCATTCTTGTAAATCAATCCATCCAAATGAGTATTAAGTACATTTTATAAACCTGTTTTATAAACTTTATTGTACATCAATTAGACAAACGGAACTTTAAAATCCATGCACTTATATTATGCTGGACCGTTCCAGCATATTTTACACACTTGACAATTAAATATGTATCCAAATATCATTATTGTCGCTCTCATTCTTGTCTACTTTTAAGTCAAACATTTACTTGAAATATAACAATTAGATGGTGATGGTGGTGGTGATGATGGTGGTGATGGTGGTGGTGATGAAGACGGTGATGATTGTAGTGATGATGACGATGCTTGTGATGATGATATGAATGGTAATGATACTGATGATAATGGTGATCATCATGATAATGTTGATGGTGATGATGATGATATATTGATGTACAACAAAGTTCATATGACTATAACAAAATACTGATTTAGATTTATTTATTAACTACATATAGATAGATAGATGGTCTTACACGGATGAGAAGGATTTTGATACAAGAAGTTATATTAAAATATTTGCTACATGTTAAATGTTCTTTTGTGAACGATAAAATGTGTGTTGTAATAATAATTTCTCATTGCTGTGCCGTCTTTCTCATTTATGTTTATGAGAAAATCATTCGTGTTACTGCAATCTCATTCGTGTGACCTAAAATATAGTTTTTTGTTGTATTTAACTCAAATATTTCTGTGATTTTATAATGATTGACATTGCTTGAACTTATTTGTTCGTTTAAGATCTTAAAACCAAAATAAAAAAGGGTTTTACAAAAATCACTCAAAAAGTGCCATTGAAATTCGGAAAGTGAAATTCACCCTAAGGGAGGTTACTTACAAAGTATAAATCTGTATAGATCAAATAGATACGTAACATCTACACCGTGTGTAATGTTTATGAATATCTTTACTCCTTACGTAATCTGCACAAGCTTTTTGAGTTTTATAAATACTAATCATGCAAGTACATATTAATATAGTTTTAAATTTTATATTATTTTATATAAATATATCACATGGAACATCACGACAAACAAAGTACCAACAACTTTAACTAAAATTTAAAATCCTGTACGCCCACTACTAATTATGTTTTGTCCTGTTTGTTTAGTTATATATATAATTTATGTCGTTGTGGATAACTATTGCGGCCTAAATTATTAAAGACAAACATTGTTCTTTGTAAAATGTATTTAAGTTGGCTATGTATTCCTTAATAAAAAATTAATAAAAAAATATGTATCTTAAACAATGTTATTTCTTTGTTGTCTTCTCTAACGAATTAGGTTCTGCCTGTAATGTTAATGTGTTGAATGGTGATGAATAAATAAATTAATAAATATCTGCCAAGACATCTAACAATAGCATTAAAAATATTAGAAATCAAGAAGACTTACCTTCACTAGCGAACAAATGCAATGAACTGAAATTGATTATGCAAGAAATTTCAAATGACTAATTGCTGTTTTTGTTGTACTGGGAAGAACCCGAACGTTCAGTTGTTATAATTGCATTCTATTGCTCTGGAAACTACTTTTTGAGCCTTGCGTATATTTTATGCACTTTGACGACATCGAGTTTATAATATAACCAGAAATAGAGACGAAATAAGGGCCATCCATCCCTGGTAACTCATCAGACAAAAGCAGCCTTACATCATTTTTAAATATCAACACTCGTTTGCACTGAAATCACAAGTATGAAAGCTGTAATAGAAATGTACAGCGCCGACAACTGACCTGCGTGTAGGTACGTCTCCGTATATTCCAAAAATATTCTGTATTTATTGTAATAAAGATAATCTCTCTAACTATGGGGGCTGTTCCATTCGGTGATGTGGAAAAAACAGCCAAAACAACTAATTACAATACAAACGCAATCACATTTCATCGGTAATTAAAAACTAAATATGTAATTTTTAAATTTTCGTCCATTATAGCAATGCTCAAGTTAAAATGGCCGACTTGAAGTTTCGGGCTGGCTAATCGGA